ATCTATCAAGACTGGAAGTTTGAATGTTTTTAATATTTTAATTGCTGTGTCGTTCCATTTGTTTCAGTAGTGATTATAATTTACCAATTATTAAGATTGCAGAGTTCAAACCTTGTATTGCATTTGGTATTATTCATTATTTCATATATATTGTATATAATAATTTTTTACATATTATTATAATAAATGTCTACTGTGTTTGAAATATTTATAATAGTATTGTCTAATAGTTTATTGAAGATTCCTAAGTATGTATCATATATATTGTTCATTGATTAGATATAAAGAAGGGAATTGTATTGAATAAAGAAGAGTCCTGAATGTTAATAAGCTTTGTGAGAGAGATTAAAATGACACTCATGTTTCTTTTCAATCTTAACAATTATTGATTAATGTGAATTTGATCTTATTGAATATCTTGTACTAGGCTAGTTGTCTTTTTTTTTCTGGATATGTTAGAGATTATACTTATATTGTCTACCATGATTGATTCATTGTCTTGCTCAATAAGTGTTTTTCTGTTTACTTAATAGGAGTAATAGTAATAACTATTATCTTTGAGTATCTAATTCTCTGATCCAGTTGTGTTAGCTCTTTCTTAATTTGTCTGATATCTATCTTGATTGTTTGAACTACTTTCAAAATATTATTACATAAAATTTTAAGTACTTCTTGTTTTGGTAGTCTTTTTGTTTCTTTTTAAATTGTATTAGAAAAAAGAAAATTCTTTACAACTACTATAAAGATTCTTGATTAATTATTCAAGTTGTTCTGTATAGTTTAGAAAGAGAGTGTTCAACTAGATTTAAATTTGTTATATAATATATCAAATTTCTTGATATCATTTTGTTTTCTTTTTCTAATGAATTTTTATCTTTCTCAAATTAGACAATCTTTGATCTGATGTTTTATACTGAAGCAAAGATAGCAAGTTTTTGTGTTTATGGAGATCCAATTAAGTTCAATATTACCTAGTTGGGTTGGAAATTTAAAGACAATTGTCCATGTCTTTTTATATTTAAAGTTAATAATTGTTGATTATTTTCTTTTATAAGAATTGAATTATAGAATGTAGCAAGTTTTTGATTTGGTTATATCAATAATTTGTTTGAGGTCATAGTTCATAGTATCAGATGTAAAATTGACTTATTTAATTGTAATTTGCTTTTCTTCTTAATTTAATTGATATTGAGAAATAGAAAGATTCTATACATATTGTATCTTCTTTAAAACCCATGAACTATTTGAGAATTACTTTATTATAGTCCTCTTGTTTTTTATATTTCACATCTGCTAATTGCTATAGGTTCCATATTTATATATATAATAATTTGATGGGTTTATATTTGATTAGTGCAATTTTAAGTTCTCTATATATTATATTTAAAGAAATATTTTATATTCTCATTATCTTACTTTTTGAAATAATATTATTATAAATTGATATTTTCTATATTTGAATAGTAGTATTATTATCAAGTTTGATAGTGAATATTATTTTAGCTTCTTTTTCATTTGTAAATAAAATAGTTATATATTTATCTGCTAATATATTATTAATTCGAATTGACATAACTGATTTATATTTTGCAAATATTATATTATCTGAATTTAGCTAACCATTAATATCTTTTTCTGATATCTGCTCCAATAGAAAAACTTTCTTGAACCATTTTCTTCTATATTGTATTTGCCAATTTATGAGTGAAAGGTACTAGAGTATTTAGTTTTTGATAGTTGTTTTCTTGCTTTTGTTTTTGTTATAAGTGTCCTAATATATCTCTTTGTTCTCTTTGAACCAGTCAATTTCTGATACTGTTGGAGTACTAAAGATCTTTGATAAGAATAATACACTAATAAAATGGTTATGATGTTTGACTTCTCTAAAGTTGTGTTGATTTTGTTATTATCTTGTAGTTTGTAAGTTGTCTATCTCAAAGATTTCTTCAATATCTTTGTATTCAATGAGGATCACTTCTAGCTTCATACTTGAATATATTTATTTTTAGATAGTTCTGCTATTTCTTAGTGTTGTGCTGTTTTGTGTCTGTTCCTGGTCAGGTATTGTTTGTTGTGAAAATGTGTTTTTATTAAAAACTCTCTTTTTTATTCCAGAAATTGTTTTTTACAAAAAAATTTTTAAAAAATTGGATATACAATAAGTAAAAAAGAGTTTTTATTATTATTATTATTTTCTTTGTTATTATTTATTAATTTTTATTAACTAATTTTCATTTAAACAAATATTATATTGAGATATCCTAAGCTAGAAAGTTGAGATCCTAAAATATTTATAATTAATAATTTTAGCTCCTGATCAATAGAAGACCAGAAATCCTATCTTTATATAGCCTAGATGAATTAAGATATAATTTTCCGAATGACTAAAAATCTACTGTAAAAGCTATTTACTAATGTATCTTAGCAATTATTTAAATTCGCGCTTTGTATAATGAATAAATGATTATTAATATTGTATTAGCGTTAGGTATCTAATTCATAAAGATTTTTTTTAAATCATTTATTCCAAATGAAGCCCCGTGTAACAATAGGCTTTTTGCTGAATACTTATATAAATGATCATTTCTCCTTCATTTTAACGTACAAACTCTCAAAATGAGTGAAACCAATTGGGACGATGTGACAGTTCTTCGCAAGAGAAGTGAACACGCTAAAGTCACCAAGGGTGATGCAGCAATCAATGCAGCTCGCCGTGCAGGGGCTGTTGTCGGAGTAGAACGTAAAAGTGAGCGTTACTTGTAATTTTTAGTCTGTTTCTTATTTTGCAACGAGAATCTTTTCCACTAAATTTAGTAATTGTTTATATTCAAGATGCCGGTGGTACTAATAAAGCTCATACAAGCACCGATCACCAAAAGATTGCTAAACTAGATCGAGAGAATGACGTGACACCGCCGCCAAAAGTTAGTTTGTCAGTTGGGAAAGCTATCCAACAAGCCAGACAAGCTAAAGGTTTAACGCAGAAAGACCTTGGACAAAGAATCAATGAAAAGGCTAATATCGTAAGTGTGCTTTATTACCGTTGATATTTCTTAGTTTAACCGGAGATAATAACGTATTCATTATGCAAAATTTACTTCTGACAAGATTAATGATTACGAAATGAGCCGTACAATTCCTAATCAACAGATTCTTTCTAAACTGGAACGTGTTTTAGGCGTAAAGCTACGAGGAAAAAATAGTAAGTACTCTAATTTGAGGAGTCGTGCTTGAAATATTGTTCTCCCTTTCTCATCAAATATCAAATGTACATTAAATTTAGTTGGAGAGTCTCTTCACTAATTAGAAAACCGAATTTAACATACGAGAGGTATAGTAATTAGTCTTGTAGAGTGATTAGCTGAGCTCACACGTACTCTCCTTACTATTGAGCTTATTCGCTACTTATTGTTATAATGAGTACACTGTGTCCTATCTATTTGCTTTATAATCGCATAATAAATTTTTTTTCTCTTTGTCCGATTCTGTCAGCTGACAATAGGAGATGGACAACATAGTGTTTCCGCATCTTTTAGATACAAGGTAATATAATTTGAAATGAAGGATCAAATTCTCAAGTAATAGCCAAATGCCTTAGAGAAATATAAGGACGTCTTATATGAATACGAAAACTTTTCTAAAATCGATTAAATTGTAATTACAGAGGTTTCTCGATAATATTAATCAAGGCAATATTATTTCTAAGGAAGATGAAGAAATTCTATATCCACGACTTATGCATTATGCCCATTGAAGATTATGGATCAGTGCATATTTTTGAATTAATTATTTATTTCAGAAAAGTTCTATTGGTTTGTACTTAGAGAATTATGTGATATGTGATTATGTACGAAATTTACAAGTTGCTTGTTTGCTTGTAAGGTTTGTTATTTTAATATCTGAAAGTTACATTAACATTTGGATAAAGTTTGCATGTGTTCGATAATTATTCATGAAATATCAGAGTTGATTTTCTTTAGAAAAGTTATTTCCAATATAATGATATTTGGATATAAAAACAAATAATGTAACAATCAAGTTTTCCTGAAAAAAACTCTTTCCGATGATCCTCTTTTTTCTTAAAAATTTTCTTTTTTGACAATTTTTTTTGGAAAAAGTAAACCTTGTCAAATACACAAGGAAAAACAATATATCTTTCAAACCAAGCTATCAAGCTCTTGCAACACATATATAAGCCTTTTAGAAACATCAAGGAAAGAGGTATATATTGTTTTACTAATTTTTTTTTACTTCTTTTTTTTTAAATTTTTAGAAAAAAAAAAAGATATCTGCAAATTGATTTATAGTCAGAAAAAGGGAGTTAATATCAACTTCATACAGTTTATAGTCAGGCCAATACAGGTTAATATCTTTCTTGACACTGCAAGGAACCCTAGAAGCAATTAAGTTTACTTGATAAATCAAGTTACTTCAGTCACTCAAAGATCTAGAAGATTATTAAAGTTTCTTAAGGACAAGATAGTTTATATATATGCACAAATAATATACTTATCCTTCATGTTGTCACACAAACATGATCACATAAAAGTAGATAAACAAAACAAGTATATATATAAAAATATCAAACAAAATGTATACATACATGTATAACTTGTGATTTAAATAAGTTGATTGACATTCTACACAAACACAATAACAACTTGCAAAATTTAAATAGGATCTTCAATATAAATCAATAAATATATTAAAACAACACAATAAGATTTTTTCATATTATTTAATCAAAAACATAAACAAAAATAATCTCAGAAAGATTTATTCGAGATCTAAAAATAGAATAACTGATAAATATAAACAAACAATTATGTGACTTATCAATAAATCTAAATCAGTAGCAAACATAAATAAAGTGTAATGTATATTATAGATAGTCAGTAAAAAAGAAGAGAATATAATGAATATTTTAATCAATCTCTCAATAAAACATGATAAATACTCTACTTTATAGATTTCCCAACAACTATTAAAACAAAGAAATAATGAACCCAATGGATTAGTAATCTCATTACTAGAAACATATACTATTCTAGATAGTATCATAGTTAATATACTAGAAGTTAATGTGACAACTTTTCACAAGGAATGAATCCTAACTTAACATATTACATATCTTTGACAATAAGGCAAAGAGATTAAAGAAGATCCCTTATAACCTTACATTGAAGATAAGCATATGAAAATTATTAAGAATATTGAAAGTCAATATAAATCTGAGTAACAATCAATAGAGATCATTAAACAAGTAAATAATGAATTAACAATAGACAATGAAGTAACAATGATATGGGTATAAGAGATGGAAGAACTGGAATCACAAAAACATCAAGAAACAGTAAAAAGACAATGCATTAATGAACATAGCTCCTATACCACTAGGAATAGAAACGTAGTATCATCAACAAATCCTTATTTCATAAAAAAGAAAAGAATTTATAGATTAGGTGCAATGATAGTCAATATTTTAGGAGAAATAAAAAATGAAACTAAGGTATATCTAGATAACACTCTTAAACTTTTACAAGAAAAAAAAAACCTGTTACGAAAAGAGTTTATCAATGGAAATGAGTGGCTAGTTTTTTGAATACAAGAGAAAGAAGATATTATAAAATGTATTGAAGAAATTAACTGAAAAGAAAACAACTTCGCTATTCAAAATACAGTATAACACTCTTAACTACTCACAAAAAACAAAAAACAAAAAGAAACCTAGATAAGAAATTTTTTCAAGAATCTAAAACCAAAGAAGACACTACTATCTGACATGTATATTTAGTAGACGTGGATTAAAAAATCAATAAAAATCTCATAAAAGTATATCTAAAAAATATAGAAAAGTTCAAAACATTCATATCTATAAGGTGAATACAAAACTATGAGTAAAAACCTATATAAAATAGCACAAATATCTTAGCTTAAATCCTGAAAAACTTAGCAATAATAAAATTAATCAAATATTAATTGAAAGAAATGATAACTCAACAAGACTTCTAAGTACTAATAAAACCTATACTAGTCTAATAACTAAAGTATTGAACAGTACACAAGCTAAGGTATACTATATATTCAAAGATCCTTATACACTCAAAAAGTATAACTTTATAGTAGTTTGTTTTAAGACAAAAGAAGAAAGAGACAAGGTATGCAAATAACATATTTTTTTGCAAGGAAATCACCTCTCATTAAGTACCAAACACATATTTAAAACAAAAAGATAAAACTTAAAGGTAAAAATAGAAATATAAGATTTAGGTCCAGAAATATAGAAATAGAAAATAAATCAATACCTGACTCACAATCTAATAACAAATTACCAGAGTCTATTTCTAATCAGCAAGTTATCATAGGTTCAGGAATTTGAAACAGATCAGGTAGCAAATCAATAATAGAATAAGGCATGAAAGAAATACTAGAGAAGAATATCTTGCAACAAGAGGCAATAGAGAACCAATCAAAAATCAACAAAGCTATAGAAATAAATTTTCTGAAGTCAATACAAGACCCAAAATAGAAAGTACACAAAATCCTTTAATGAATATTTTAGTTAACCTAGAAAGACTACATGCTAAAATAGATATTCTAGAGAGACAAATGATCTTAAGAAGAACAAGACTTAGTAATAAGGAAGTAAATCATTTCTAAAGATACACCAGTTCTTAATAATAATTAAAAGAAGTAACAGCCCATTGCTTTCTCATCAAAAATCACAAATATGGGCAACAAACAAACTTTAAAAAGTAATAACAAAATAGAAGAGAAGAGAATATAAATATCACAATATTCCTACAAAAAGAATGGGAAAAATTTTTTAACAATAGTAGATATAGACTAAAAAGAAAAACAAAAAAAAAAAGATGAAATAGATAAAAAGTAAACAGAATAAATATACACAATGTTAGAGAAATTACAAATAAAATAAAGCAATAAAACCTAGTTGAAGAAATACTAAAACAAGAAATAGACATACTGGGATTATGCAAAACAAAATTGACAGAAGCTAATATACAATGGTTAGGGATCACAACAGATTGGATCGAATCAGGTTTTAGGTTAATCTGATCTGAATTCGATCGGATCAGTTTTTATTTGATCTGATCCATATTCGAACAGATTTATTTTTATATAATTCGTATCTGTTCGATTAATCCAATATTTTTTTAATTGTGTTTTTTTTTTTTTTTTTTTTTTTTTTTTTTTTTTTTTTTTTTTTTTTTTTT